GCCTGAAAAAACAGAACTTGTCTTTCTGGACAGATTCTTGTTTTCTTACAATCCTAGCCATTCTTGAAAAAATTCTTGCAATACAATGAATTTCATTTAGGCATCCACACGATTGCCTGCTTTCGGTCCTATTATATTTTAATTTGAAATCAAAAAATACAAGAAAAGTATAATACATGTGCAAGGAAAGATACGATACGCTCATAGCGCTTACAAAAAAATTAAGAAAAAGAAGCGAAAAACGCTTGAACAAAACTGTCTATTTAAAAAATATATCTGTTATAGTTCGTCCGAGTCATCTGAAAAGAAAAAGATACAATGTTCAAACTTCTGTATATTTATAAGTATCTATACAGAAAACATCACGTGTTATTTTTCTTTAAGATATAATAAGAATCATTGAAAGGAAAAGAAAAAAGATTCTTGTCTGGTATTCAAGAAAAATAAGCATCTGGACAGATCGAAGTCAAGATCATCGACTAGTGTAGCTTTTCATTTTATTTATTAAAAAGTGTTGCTCTGGCAGGTCAATGTTTCCATCAACCCGCACGATTTCGTNTACCTCTTGGTAAGTTGTAATAAGCAACGTTTCTCGATGAGATAGTGAGCGCGAGTTCGGTTTTGTTCTTACACTAAACGTATAAAAAAAAGAGAAAGAAAAGAGCGCGATGTGTCAGAACGAGAAAAATATCGCGCCCCACACATCAACGAGAAAAATTGCTTATTACAACTTACCAAGAGGTAAATGATCCTTACGGATCAAATACATGTTGCGATGACGAAATTGTGCGGGTTGTTGGAAACAACGATCTGCCAGAGCAACACTTTTCATAAAGTAAATATGAAAGAGCTATTTCCTATAAAAGCATTTAGATAATCAATGCATGCATTGCTTTTGAGTCACATGAAGTTTCGTTTTCTTCTCTTTATATATTTAAAAAGTTGTTGCTCTGGCAAGTCGGTGTTTCCATCAACTCGCATGATTTCGTCATCGCAATATGTATTTGATCAGTAAAGATCATTTACCTCTTGGTAACATTGAACCGAATTCGTTCGTTTTTGTTTAGTCAGTGCTTTGCGCATGATTTATTGCTATTGCTACCAACGTTTAAAATAACGTCGAATAGTAGTGAATGCTATGAAAGCGAAAAATCTGTATTCCTGTCCTATAAATTTCATTATGTATATTTTCCCGTGACTTTTGTTGAACTTGGTACTAACTTTGTAAAAGAAAGAAACATGGATTCCTTGAAAGAAAGATCCATATTTTCTCTGTGAGAATGAATAGCGGGGGAAGATTTGAAAGAGAAAGTCTCCCAAAACTAGAGAGAAACAGTTTTGCATTCTTTTTTTTTCAGGAAAAAATATATTATTAGCTAGATTTGGTAAGGCTTTCTTATTCAATTTGTAACTTTTTACATTCATAGCTTCTAATTTCATGGTTTGCCTATCACTCATCAATCGTTCCTGGATGCATGAAAAATTTTTGAACAATATCATCTAAATGAAAATAGATCAATGCAAAAAAAAAAACGCTCGGACCTAAAGAGAAAATAAATTGGTATAAAGGAGAAAATAGGTGATTGCCTTTGATATGCTTTATTCAGTCTACAAAGTCGCAAAGAAAATTTCCAGGGAGAAAGCTATAACGCAAAAAAATGTGAGCCCGCTCATCGTAAACTATGGTCAATAGAGATGCTTTATTTTACTCGTCTTTAAATGATTATTATTTGGGTCACAATAAGACGTGACCATATCTAATCGATGAGATTTAGAGTGATCTGAGAAATTTTTTAATCACGAAATATATTCCGATGGGAAATAATGCAATACAATTAAAATATATACGTCAATGAACTGAGCTACCAGTGCAACAATATTTGTTTAACTGCAATTAAATAAATGATAGTTTTTCTACAATTCAATAATTGCTATTCGTTCTTTTTTTTATTTGTAGTGTGAGTTTATGCTTTTATGGGTTTACATGATTTGCTACGCACGCGCAGAAAAAAACGAAAAAAAACCAACAAAAAAAAAGAGAATGAGAGAAACAGATGTGTCTGGTTCGATTGTATAATATCGGTGTAGTTCATTTTTTTTTTAAACGATCTTTGATATATTTGTCTAATAGGAATAATCGTTCTAGGAGATATGGGCTGACGGAAATAAATTTCGTATAAAAAGGATTGCCACTTTTGTATGTTCATCATCCGAGACGAAACGAACAAAGAACATTGCAAAAGAGAAAAAACGAAAATAGTTATATATATATATATATATATATATAGCGAGAGAGAGAACAAGAGACAGATTTCGTAGAAATGCTCACACTAAAAATAAATATACACCTGTACAAAGAGCGAGAAATTCAGTGCAAGTCATCCCTTTTTTTTTATCTTGACCACCAAGAAGTACAAGGTAATATAGACGTATCAGATCAGATTTTTAAATTTAGTTAACAACTCATGTAAATGTATTTGTTTTCGAGAAAAACTGAGCGCAAAAAACACGAAAAAAGATATACGAGAATGGTTTAGTTCACATACACATATAGGTTCTCTTCGTTGTCTGATAGACACGTTCGAAGAAATAAGGTTACTGTTATATAATAGAAACAAATAAAGATTGCGCCGACGTGCCAATATGGCTACAAAAAAGACACAGAAAAAAAGAGAGAAAACAGAATAACAACATTGCATGAAACAGCAAACGTGCAACAATAAATTCAATATCATACAAATTTGACAAAAGCATGATATAATCTTAATAATGTTTCGATATGAATAGGTAAACAACTAGCACGTTCATTTGTTTTTGCATCGATTAGTAGCCATGATAGACGATTATAGGATTCCAAGACGTATCTAAATAGAAAAAAAAATAAATACTAAGAATCTTCCGAATCAAAAATGTTACCTGAGCACAACATAGGTATAATTTGAATCTAATGGATGTGTTAATTTTTGATCATTACTTTGAGCAAATAGCATATCATCTGAATGTTGAGCATTCGGTACACTAACATGCAACGTTGCTTTAAATACACTACATGCATTATTCGCTCGTTGATTTAGTTTTCCATGTAACATCCACAATGGTAACGGATTTAATGTACCTATTGTCGATACATAAAAACCAAGTGCTAAAGGTTGTTGATGCAATGATGGATGATCATTCATATCGATTTCATATTCAAAATGTTGAAAAGAATTCGATTTGAGATTTGTACCATTGGAAGAAGTGCCATATGGATGGTTACCATGATAATCATTATGAGCATTCGAAGAGTTACCCAATCGATGATGTTGTCCACTTGCTAAACCATGCGTATTACCATGATGATTCATATCAGCATAGTTTGATGAAAATTCCAGGTCAACTGGTGTTGGTGATGTTATATTATCGAAAGCTTCATTTGGTGGACCTTCAGGATCAAGATCTTCAAATAATTTACTAAATAAATCATCTTCATTATCAACAGTAGAACGATGATCATTAGGTCGTGGCATTGTTTGCACATGCTAAATGAATAAAATAAGTGAAAAATCAAGCAATTCTTTTATGTCAATCAATATCTTACTTGTACAGATGCTGATGTTGGTAATGTCAAAATATGTGTCACAGAAATATCATCTAATACTTGACCACCATTTGTCATTGCTGTTGCATTATTATTCGGTGCTTGTGTTCCTCGTATTTCTCCAAGTTCAAGTGATTCTGGTAGAACTGTTAGCGATGGATGTGTTTCCATAGATATTAAACATGCTGATAATATCACTGGTTGATCATGACAACGTAGTATATGACACATCGGACAAGAATCTCGTATTAATGTTGCACAACGAACAAGATTCTTTTTCGATAGAATTATTCCCCAAGCTAAAATACCAAAAAAATTTCTTAAACTTTTCTTTTCAAAAATAATTTGATCTTACTTTTCAATTCTCCATGTCCAAGCCTTCCTAGTCGTCCGATCACAATTCTCCACGGCATTGTTGTACTTGTAACAACACGCATAATAAAATCCCATAATTTTCGTAAACCAATACGTCGAGCATGTTGTACTTTTCTTCTATGTCTATCAGGTACTTCAATATCAATTGAACAAGTTTCTAATAATTCTCCTCGATCGTCTGAACATGTCGCTAATAAATATCGTTGATCATCAGATAAACAATAGGAACAAAATAGAATGCTCCCATTGATATTTGTTTGTTCTGTTATGTCAGCAAAAGCTTTAAAACGAAAATCTGCTTTCGGTGAGAGTATATATGCTGGCGTATAAAGTTGCATAACCTAAACATGAAAATAAATACTAAAAAAACAATCATATCAAGTAAATTTCTTTACAATTTTTGCTGGCATCTTTTCTTCGGATGCAGCTGGACCAAAGCCAGTCAACGATTTTGCTCGTGTTGTATACGAAACTGTTCGTTTCAATTGTCCATATACATTGAATGCTAAGCGTTTCAGCTGAGTTAAACGTAATTCTGAATCAGATTCAACTTGTTGATTAACTATTGACTCAAATGGAATAATCTGAAAAGAAAAATAAATTGCGTTTTTTTTTTCAAATCAAAAAAAAAATAATTAAAATCTTTCTTTACCTGTATATTAACACGGATTGAAATTTTCTCTGGTAAATCTTTAATGAGATCCATGTAGGCACGAAAAATTGCTTTTTTAACATATGCATCAATTCTATCATCAATCGAAGTATTATTATTTCCATTCTCATCGGTCATTGATGCCGTTATCTCATATCGAAATGTATCAATAAGATAGATAACAATAAAAAATTGTTCATCATTCGATGTACGACCTTGATGAAATGATTCAAATGCTTGTAAATCAACTGGGTCGACTTGATGGCCATTAACAAATGTACCATTAGTTAATGATGACATATTATTCGACGATAAACTAAGAACGTCAGTAGCGGTCGATCCCGTGGTATAAATATTATTTGCTATAAGACTATTTGTTGGCGCTATCGATGGTGTTGACGATGGTGAAAGAGCATAGCCACTATTTGTTAAATCATTATTTGATGAATGTAGATCGAGTGAAGACGATGGATTGGAAACATCATTCGGATTACGAAATATATCACGACGTGACGTTCCTTCTTCTAGTAATGTATTATCAAATGGTTGAGTCGACAATAGATTAACTGGTAAAGAAAAAGAAATTGAAAAATTATTCATATTATTTGATATACTTACATAGTTGTCCTTTTATTGTTTGAGCGTAGAGTTTCAATCGTGTTCCAAGTGAATGTGATGTTTCATGATCTGTAAACCATTGATCAACATTAGGAAGTTGTGTTGAATCATTATTCGTTTGAGGTATACGTAAAAGGCCTTGCTCAGAAAATGCTTTCAATAACGGCCTATGCAAACCTAATCGACATAGTTCATAATGTGTAGATAATTCTCGAAAATAAGTTTTTGTCATTGAACAAACGTAATCATTATCAGGTACAACGCATACATAAGCAATATCTTTATTTTTAGAATATGGTTCCAGACATAGTTTATCCCAAAATTTTAAACTATACGGTGCTAACATAACCCCTTCACGATCAAGACCAGCGAGAAGATATGGAATTGGTTGTGGTCCGCTGATTTGTTCTTCAAGTTGTACATGTTGATTTTGTACATATAATAATTGATGAAAAGATTTCCATGTTAATGGACCATCAATGGTACTCCATAAACCATTAACGTTGCGTTTTTTCAATGCATCAACTAGCAATGGTTGTAATGAACGTAGCATAGTGATGAGTTGTTGATCAGAATCAAGTGGAGCTAAATAAAAATACATGATGAATGACGAGAAAGAGAGAAATGAATTTTTTCTTACAAGTTAAATATGACCATTGATGTAACCAATGATGTTTATCAAGATCGTCAGGCATTAAATTATTTACAACATTTCGAGATTGTTCAATGGCTGCACGACATGCCAAATTTTCATCTAAATAAATATCAAAATTTAGCAAAAAAAAATCTATTTTCATATTTCTAAAGTAAATGTCAAATTTTGTATTTCATGATCTAGATTAACTTACATTGATATACAGGTTGTTTTAATATTTGTGTAATATCTTGATCATTTTTTCTAGTTGAAATTGATGTTTGAATATTTTTATTAATAAAATAATCAAACGGCGATGGTAAACATTCTTTACGTTCAATTAATTCTAATAAATTAACCGGTAAATGATCAGTTGATGTACGATATTTTACATCAGCCTTAATTCCTGTTATTTCAATTTCATCTTCATAGAATAAACCAGATGAATAACTTAAACGTAAATTAACAACAGCTGAAAAACCACACGAGCATGAATTATGAGTATGATGACTATGACTATTGGTTGATGGAATGGCATGTTGTTGTTGTTGCTGCTGCTGCTGCTGTGGTTGAGCATATAGAGAAGAATGTGGATGCATATGATACGAAGATTGTTGATGTGGATACATATGAGGATGAAATGGTGAATGTGTTGGCTGATTTTGTGCGCCGGCTGATGTTGGTGTCGCCGATGGCTTAAGAAAATCACGTGGTTTTTCCAAATAGATTGTTGAATCGATTCCACGTATACTCAATTCATTTGGTGTACATGCACATAAAACACATGAATCAAAATTCATATCACGAAAAAAATTTAATATACTATCATTCAGTAAAACATTAAATAATAATGAATCAACTTCTGGTTGATTTATAGTTATTGACTGTGGATAAGTCGTTGGACTATTTAAAGCTTGAACACTTCCAACAGATCGTATTGGAAATGGTGATGATTGCAAATCAGTTGAACGTATCGATGGATTATTATTCATAGGCGAGTACATGGTTGGTGTTGGAACATTTGATATTGACATTGATGTATTGCGGATATCTGATGAACGTGGAGTTTGTTGTTGTCGAATCATCTGTTGATTATTGAATGGACTCGATGAATAATCGTTGGTTGTTAGCGTTCGTTTCCAATGTTTAATAGGTTTATGATGAGTTGATATTGATATGCAAAATAATTTTGATGGTTCATAACGTTTGATTGATTTTGCATGTAGAGATTTTTTCAATGGACGATAAGATGAATGATCTTCAACAGTTATGGATTCAAATGGAGCTATGATAGATTCTTGACTAAATTGATTGAGCATATCGAATGTGTTTGCAGCGCTACTAACACTATCAACCATGATTGCATATGGTGAATGTAATGCTTGAAGTTTTTCGGATGAAGATGAACCCGGTGGAGTGTTGTAAATTTGTTCTAATTCATGAAAAACTACAAAAGTAAAAGACAAAATTTGAATTATAAGTTTAGTTCATAGAATAGTACAAAAATAGAATAGCTGATTGAGTTAACAATTACCTCCATTGAGTGATTTATTCACAGGAAATGTATTGCCATTAGTAGTAGTAGATAGAGAATGTGACGCTGCTAGAATTGGATATATGAGAGAATTTTCTTTACGCATAGGTGATTTAACACCACCATTGGAAAGAATATGTGAAAGAACATTTGAATTCATATTTTTATTTTCATTGGTATCATGTGAATCAATAATCGTATCAAGATCAGTTATCGATGGGCCATCCATTGTATTAAATGATGTTTGATTTTGACGAATATTACTGGTTGGAGTTGATGGCGGATAATTAAGTCGAGATATTGCATCTTCATCATCACCGAATTCATATGGATCTGTTCGAGATAATAAATGACTAGGACTCGGTGGAGTTGGTTGACCATGTCGATAAAGATGATCAGTTGTTATCAATGATGATGATGATGATGATGATAAATTATTTATTGTTAAGGATGATTGTATACTATTTATTATTGAATTTGTATCAGCACGAAAACGTTTTAATGGTAATTGTAGAAAATTATCTGTTCGATTAAAATCATAGGTTTGTTTATGTTGTTCTCTTTCGTCATCTTCGACAATTGATAAATCATCAAATGCCATGGTAGCCGAACGTTTTAAACCTCTGGATGTTGTCGATGTTGGCGCAGGAGAATTGGTTTGTACAGAATTTAAATTCGTTATTGGTGCAAGTACTGACGGTGGACCACTAATACTCACACTATTCGGCGTTGATGCTGTCCATTCGTTTTTATTGTCATTGGTTGTTTGTTGATTCGACGCAATAGGATTATTTACTGCGGGTGATGATGTTGATTGTGAAACTAAAGCATCATTTTGTATTAATGTATTTGTATTTTCATTTGATTCAATTGTATTTTCAGTTTTAATAGATTCAACTTTAGTTCGAATAGAGGACGGATCAGATAGAACAGGTGGAGTGGTTGAAGGTCGGCGATGAAATGGAATGAATGCCGATAGACGATTTGTTGATGTTAAACATTGATGACATCGACATATCCGACGATTCATTGGGTCACTTATTGATAAACATTTTGTATCTTGTCTAAACGAACACCAAAAAAATATTTACATATGATTTATTGTGAAATTACAACATACTTTTTTTCAATATCAATACAATTATTTCGTTGAGCACTAATTAATAATTGATTGGCTAAATTTTTTATAAGCATGCTTTCATTTTTATTATTATTTGATAATAAATCTAGTGGTGAATTCATTGCTGTTGTTGTTGATGGAGGTGGTGGTGGTGGTGGTGGTAGAGTTGTTGGTGTTAATGATGTTGGAATTTTTGATTTTTTCATTGAAGATAAATCTGCTTTTTTTGTTGGTGGAGTTGTTTCATTACTTGAAGTTATTGCATCATTATTTGAAGCAATTTTATATACATAACATGTTGGATAAAACATTCGAATATTACCTATAAGACATAATTTATTTTTCATGATGGATGAATAGAATATTAGAAAAAGACTATATCATTTAAACTTACCAACAGTAACTTCAACAAAATCTGGCAAGCCATCAATATGTCGAACAGAATAATTTCTTTCCCAATTTTCACGTAATAAATTTAAATCAATATCTCTACTAACAGGACCATTAAGCATTCCACTGATACCATAAGGTGCCAAAATGACTAAAAATACGAGAAGAAAATGAAATAAAATTCCAGAAAAAAGAAAATTAATTTTTTTCTTACCATTTGATGGTGAAGTTTTATCAAGATCTTTACTGGTTAAATTATAAATATATCGATGTCTTTGGACATCAATACTTGCACAAACTTTATTATCTCCATGAAGAAAAAAAGTGAAATTAAATGAAAAATTTGGCACTTTAACATCAGAATGATCATTGATGGGTAAAACAAACCATTTATTCAATCGAGCAAAACCTTTTGACAATAGATATCTAATCACAAGAAATAAAACATTTATATTATTTTCCTATGATTCTTGTATTTTTAATCTTACTTTTCAATCATATTGTGTAGTGCTTTAAATAGCATTGATCGACAATCGTATGATAAAGCATTTTCATTCCATGACCCATTGGCTTGATTCATTGCTAGAATAGAAATAAAATACAAAACATTTCATGTATCGTTCATCATCAATTTTCTTACGTCGTAAATTAGGTAATTCCGATGGTAAATCTTCATTGATTCCAAATAACCAAAGTTCTTTTTCAGTTTTTTGTCCATCATCAGTTAACACACGTCTCCATGCACATAATGTGTCAGCACGTAGAGCATTCCAATAGGCAATTAAAACAGGATCTTTATAATGATTTGGTTCTAACCGATAGTTTAATGAACGACGAAAACATTTCCATTTCATATCATTTAAACTTTGCTAAAAAACGAAAAAAAAATATGTGTATATTGCTGACGCAATAAAAAGCAAGATAATACCAGAGCAAAAAGATTTGTATGACAATGTTCAAGACTGCAAGGTGCACTCATTGTCGCCGATTATATTTTTAGAAAGAACAAAAAATGATTAGAAATATTTAATAAATAATAATAATAAACGGTCTGTTTGTCGGATCATATTGATAATAATAAGTCCAACATTGACCGGAAATAAATATCTGAAAAAGTAAAAGGGAAATATTTTCTTTTGCTTTGTCAAGTTGATTACACCATGCGATCGAACGAACGAAAAAAAGCAATGTTAGAAAAAGGAAAGAATAAACAACTCTTTTTTCCTTCTTTGTTTTCTTTCGATAGTAACAGCTGGGGAATGTTGAAGAACAATGATTACGATCAATGAGATATATTTACAAAAATTTTCGATAAACAAATAACAATTGTAGGAAGAATGAATTTTTTTCTATTGAGGATACAAAGAACAAGATGATTGATTAATACACCACTAGCTTAATTTTTAATTACCACCATGAGAGAGGAACAATTGTGTCTAATGATTGGATAGATTGATTGACCAATGGAAATAGAGTTATCATTCACTAGCGATAGCGAGACCAGACCAGACAAGATCTTTTTAAGAAATTACTTTGATTCAATTTTTCGCGCTGATGATCGCACGAAAATTCAATGTCATCGTGTAAAAATAGGGTGTTCAGTTTTGCATCCATTGATTTTTAGAGCATATGAATGTTTTCAGTTAAATAAATCTTTCGTTTTTATAACAGATTGTACAGTTTAATTGATTGAAACAATCAACAAGTTTTGATATTATTTCATACTAAGAGTCTGTAATTGTATTTATCGCTATCTAGTTATAAGGCACAAACGTTCAAAGCTGAAGAATAAATAGGCATTGAAAACCTCTATCAACGATTATTGTACATTTGATTTCTTGGAATATGTTGCATAAGTAAAGCTGTTAAACTACACGTGAAGGACGAATTTTCGTTAATGTACTTGAAAAGAAAAAACCGTCTGGTTTTTTCGTGTCGTGGTTGTCATGTTGAGTGTACTACATAGAAATTTACTGTAACTTATATGCCTTTTTAAATTAGTTTTCTATGCAATTTACAAATCAGTTTCAAATAATTTCACGATATATCAGAAAAATTTAAAGAATATCAAATTGATAAAGAAAAGACAAATATAGATTCGCTTATTATGACCCATCGATTGTAATGCAGTTCAATTTATATAAGATTATTTATCTCATTTGGACCGATAATTATCTAAGCTGAATGTTGATCTTTTTTATTTCTCTTTAAATAAGTTAATATATGATTATTTATGATATTATGTCGATTTTTTAAATTCTAACATAATGTACCTTGATATTCATTGTAAATAATAAACTGCACGTAGGCTTTTTTTTTATGTCAATCATCTTTGATAAAATATCATTTTAAAATCATTCAAGAATAATCCTTGTTGACGAAGGACTAAGTCTATTTGTGACGTTAACAAGAATCAATCATTCGTGATTGCAAAAAAAGTCGAATAAATCTGACTATAATGTAGAAAATACTGTTTGCTCTTTTTTTTCTTCTCACTCATCTAGGTCCTAAAACGCCGATGAATGTTCGCGTTAAAACAAAATGAGCGTTCTTTTGACTAGTTAAGAACTAGCTATTTGTGTGCTCTACGATTCATGCTTTTGTTTTTGTTGCATCTTGAAATGAATATTATAATGAATGATTTCAAATGTCAATTTTAGCACAAAAAAGTATGCAAAAAATATTTCGACATTCGCTTTTCTGATTGGCTAGCTTATTTCTCATCAAGATTGATTATCTTTCGATTATGGTTTTCAGATTAATATGAATCAAACACGAAAATATGTTGTCTAAAACATTATATTGTATAAAGTATGATTGATGTTTATCTACGAAAAATATTCTCCTGTTGAAAAAAAATTGGCGATTACATACTATTTAGACACAATTTATCCAAAATTTAACTTAAGCAAAACATTTCATTGTAATTATGCAATTAATGCTCTGGCCTTGAATCTAGGCTTTCGAAACACAATTTCATATGAATAATTATCTTTTCTCTAGCTTTATGATTGTAAGATTTCACTATCGATCTGACACTTTTAGACCAAAAAGAAAACCGTATTTAGCATCAATTAAACTTGATATCTTTTTCAAATAATAATAATCATCAAGCGGCAAAACGGATCAGCACGTACAGATTTGACGTTTTTTTTATGTGCAAGTATTTGGTGTACAGAATAATGCGTACTTAGGGTGTGTAACTGAGTTTTCTTTAAGTGAGAATATTTAATAAAAAATCAGACTTTCTTTGTACTTATGTAAACATTTATTTACGGATGTCAATAATGAATGTTTTTCTCTTTAATTTTTCTATCGTTGATTGTTAGTACAATACGGACAAAAACGCAACAGTGAAACTAAAAAGAAAAATATAGTCGACCACATCAAACAAAATACATTTGAATACAATATATGCTTTGTAACGAAAAATGATCAATGATGTTTTTCTATAATATTCAATAAAGAATAGATTGGTTTATAAATAGATTGGCAATTCTTCTCATCGAATATACATTTAACCACAAGTAAAAAAATGAAAGAAAAACGACTGATCACCCAAAAGCAAGACAACGATTTTGTATCGCCAATAAAGAAAAAACAGTAGCCTATGCTTATTTTTTGTGGTCGTCATTCATCGAAAACGTAGAAGGAAAAAAAGGTAATCAATATTATAGAATATTGATAATCATATTTTGACTCGTTTTTTTTTCTACTTTCTACCTATGTGCATTCTTTTTTTTCTCAATAACGTCCCTGATGTAATTGTATGTGTGTATGTGGTCAGATTTATATTTCGTATATGTATACGTACGTTTCGTAAAGAGAAAGGTAATGGAGAGAAAATGAGGGATGCATAACGATAGAGATATGGTATTAAATTGAAGTACGCACCCGTTTTTCTCTCACTCAGTCTCATACATTCATATGTACAGTCGTCTCCCTTCTCTCTCTCTCTCTCTCTCTCTCTCTTTCTCTCTGCCTCTCTTTTTCTATCCTTTTCATACAACGAAAAGAAAACAAGCGACAAACGTTGATGACACTCTCATGCTAATCGAGCGTTGATTGAAGCATTCTTAGTATTGTAACCGTCGTCACTTTTACCACAGCATAAAGAAAAAATAACAACAACAAGCACACCTTCATAGCAAGCAAACAACTATGGGTAAGAAAACAAAAGATGCAGTGGATGCTCCGAAGAAAGAAGTAAAGGTAAAACAACCGAAAGTAAAAGCTCCTGTCGATCCTGTCAAGACAAATAATCTTATTCGTTTATTGAATATCCTTGCTTTATTATTAGCTATCGGAGCATTTTTGCTTCAATTAACTGCTGTATTATCTCATCATTGGAAATGGCAAAAAGTAGCGCTAGGTTCATTAATGTCTCAAAATCACCATGCTCATACAAATGTTCATGAAGATAGTAGCCTTTATCAGAACTTTGGTTTATTTTCACGTGATGTCAAACTTTTTGCTAACAATGATGAACAACTTGAAGTTGAAGGAAGTACACGTTTTCCAAGAGTTGATGATACTGAGGAAGCTATTCATCAATGCTTATCTCAAACACCAACTCTTCGTGGTGTATTTCTTGCATGTTCGGAACAAATCTCTTCACCAAAAGAATGTCACTGTAGACGACATCCTTACTGGAATGCTGTTATTTTCTTTGAAATAGCTGCATTAGTTTTTCTTGGAATTGTCGTATTTCTTACCGCTTTGCTTACAACACATCTTCATGCTTTACTTAAACTAGCAGCAGCTGGTTTAGCATTACTTGCTTTTCTATTTCTATTCATTGGTCTTATATTAATTCTCAGTTATCGTAAACGTGAAACGCATTCGTTAGCTGATGCGTATCCACATATTTATAATCGACTTGCTAGCTTATTTCACCTTCCTCATGACACACGTCGGGCTGTTAAAGGTAATCCAAGTGTACTTCATGAAGCGATTCGCCGACAAGCACAAGAATTTTATCGAGCATATCCTTTAGTACCTGGTCAATATCCATTCAATGAAACACATTTCACAGAATATTCGGAACAAGCACGTGCATGGATTCATACACCATATTCAAGTGTTGTTCCACACGTTCCTGCTAAGCCACTTACACTACGAGACCCAGACATTCATCAATTTGCTCCAGTAACAACTGTGGCTGCTGCTACTGCTGCCGCTGCGGCTGGTGGTGCTGCACCATTATATAATGCATATGGTCCATTAGCTGGTTATAATGAAGTTTTTGATCATACAGATGCTGGCATTGGTTGGTCGACTGTTTTATCAATTTTTGCTCTCATTCTTGCATTACTTTTACCATTACTTCTTATTTTGTCGTGGCTTAAACATAAAAGTTTATCACCCGATTCAAGGAAAGTTGTAACAACAAGTGTTAAAACTGAATATACAGCTGTACCACAAGAAGTTTCAATTGACTCACCAGAAGCAAGATTAATTCCAGCTGATTATGACCCACAACGTCATATTGGAGACGCTGTCGTAAAAGCACAAAATATTGGCCAAGGCGACTATAGTAATCCAGCTGAACCAATTATTGTACGCGATGTTATAATTCGTAGTGACCAACCAGTACCACAAATAGTTCAGCAACATGGATTTCCGGTTACTATTGAGACAAATCAAACAGTCTATCGCACTTAAATAAAGAAATAAACTATATTATTTCTTTTATTCTCGAACAGTATTGAAACTAGAACAAAGCAATTCTGTTTACTTCTATGTATCTTTGTCTTTCTTTCTTTGTCTTTTTTCTTAGTGTAGGATCCCATCTCGCAACAGCTAATGTCTCTTTTTTGTTTTCTTTCTTTTTATTCATTATTAAATAAATTTTCTCTTTTTTTTTAAAATTAAATCTCATTAATTGTGAAAAATCTAGAAAATGATGTATCTGTCGAATAGAACAGTAATGCATAAGGTGAGTATATAGTTAGAAATTTATGAATTTTATCAGTGACACATTTATGTCTAGTAGTCATTAGATCATGGTGAATAATTGAATTAAATGTTCAATGACTGTATATTGAATAGGATTTATACTCTGCGTATGTCGTATGTCTTTCTCTTCCTTTTCAGTGCATTCATTTATCTGTCTGTCTGTCTCGTAAGATAAAAGGATATATTTATATACAGAGATCGATTGAGTCGTGGACGGTGTAGTGATCGATGATGTATTGGTGTGAACATCATATACAAAGAAAAAGAAAAAAAACTGAAATTAGGATAGATGAAGATTTCAGATAAATATTATCATTTGATCTATTTGATTTTTGTATTATGTTTAAATGCATGACGAAAAAGAAGAAACTCGAATTTTATGCCTGCAGATATTCAAGGTATGTTTCAAATCCGATAGACCAATATAATTAATACTCCTTTAGTTTTGTTTTTATTGAAACAAAATTAATATTATTCTATGATATAATAATTGAATTTATATTTGATAAAAGAGAAAAAAATAACTATTTGTCTTCATTTAGTCTAAAAATTAAATAATTTCGATAAAACAACAAGAAAAATAATGAACTATTCAAGCACATATCTGACATTGAAATTTAGTGGCACAAAACTATGTCATGTTATTATGATATTGTACAAAATCTTTCTTTCACTGAAAATGGAAATTGAGAACAACAAACAGATCGTTTTGTCGATGGATAAGTTCGAAATTCAATATCATCTGCGTCGTCATCGTCGTTATTATTTGTAAGCAAAGCATTATTAGTATTTGGCCCAGTCGAAGCATCGTTTTGGCGGAATAATTTTAATTCTTCACGTAATTCATTTTTTGTTAATTTGTGTATAGGTGAAACAAAATCATCTTCACTAGAAACATAAACAGATATTTTTATGAATGAACGAAAGCATTTGTTTCGCATGTCTAAGCAAAACCATTAGTAATTTTCGCTAGTCAAAATTAAGCAAAGAGGAATGATTTTTGTTTAAAAAGGACGTTGACAAATGCAACATTTATTCTAACGGATGGACGAAAACTTTTGGCACACAATGTTTGTTAAATTTAGTTTGCTATCACATTTTGTCTAGGATTGTTCCCTCTAAAAAACTATCGTATCCGACAATTGTTAGCATTTTCGCCAAGGGATTTATAGGGGTCAGCAAAGTCTGTTTGTTTGCAGCCTAAACTAATTGTTTAGATCTGTCAAAGATGATTTTTGAATATAAATTGACATCTGAATAACTATTCACAATTCTAAAATAAATGGGAAAAAAAATCGTGACCATTTAAAAACCATCGCAAAGCAAAAGATAAAGATCGTCAAACTAGCAGCCCATTTACAATTTAGGAATATATTTAGATTTAGTCTTTATAAATTATAATCTATATAAATTCGACTTCACTCCCTTGTCTAATTTAGGAATAGATTCAGATTTTCATTTTATAAATTATGTCACCAATAAAAGAAAAAAGTCTCTTTTTAACAAATATTCGGCTGACTCTATCTCCTAGCTAAAAAATACTACGGATCTTAAATTATTCTTTGACATGCGTCTGAGTGATACATTTCTTATATGCTACTCTCAGCTTAGTTTAGGAAAGGTTTCCGACCGAAACTTTCACCAAAGTCAATTCAGGCACTTGATATTGAAGATTCCAGATAACTGCATTTCCTCCTCGGTTTTCTTCTCGCCAATATCTAACTATGTATGCAACGCTTTTAAAGCGATTCACGACAAACCCTTGAAGACGAAATTTTCAGCAACTAGTTTAAACGAGAACACTGAGAATTTGAGACAGTGTCTTTAACAAACGCCAACAAGTCAAATTACGCCAAGTGTGGGTGCCAGGAAAGACGCACTAGTGCAGGTCAGCCAACCAACCCACACCCGAATTTTATAATTTATAAAAAGGAGATCTAAATCTAAATCTATTGCTAAATTATAAACGGGAGTGAAGGTCAATTAATATATTTTATGATATATGAAAACTAAATCTTTTCTCGGCGATTGCGTGAAAACCTGAAAGTAGTTTTTTTTCCATTTATATTCGAAGTCGAATTAGACAGCTACTCTGTCAAACAGAAACCGATACAAAATCTCTAAGTCCATATTCGGAAAGAGCATACAGGTCCGATTCGAATGCACAGATTTTGATTCGGCGGAAATATTTTCAAGTCGGTCAAAACTTTCCGTCCATCCGTTATAAATATATCGCAACATATTTCTTTTGCTAACTTCTAATAATAACGAATAAAATGTGTCTAAAATTATGCTTCATGTTTATTTCAGTTGTTCATTGAAAAAACATTAAAGAGATTCACAACTGCTTTGGTATTTATTTCAAATGGATTATCAAATTTCAAGGATACTGCACTAATATTGACATTTATATTCAATAGATTAAAATCAATACTAAATAATTCCTTTTTTTTGTATTCGAAATAAGAAATGATTAATAAAACAAAAGCATGACAACTAACTCGGAATGCTCGTTATCACTGATTGTCACCAACGGTTGATAAGATGGATCATCATTTGATTGAATTCGTGTTTGAAGAATTCTATATTGAAATATAAAGATACTTATATAGACGAATAAAACATTTACTTCAATCCGGATGAAATTTGAATTGGATTTGAACGAGTAAGGTGTTGTACTAGATTCGGTTTATTTGGCCTTAACGCACGAAGTTTAACTAGTAGGTCTAATTGTCAACCAAAAAAGAAAATTATTCTATTTTATATTTTAGTAAAAGAATACCGTTTTGTTTTGAAGTTTCCCGGATCGGTTGATTTGTCATTGTAGTTAACGCCTTAAAGAAAACTAATCAATTGAGCCCTTTTGTTTTTTTGAAAATTAAACATACATTTCGATTAACACTTGGATGATCCATGAGAAACAAAATAAATTTGTTCTACCACTTCAATACATCAGCTGAATATAGAATATATTGATCTTGATTTTTATTGGTTGATTAAATATTCAATGAATCTCTATGGCTGATTAGAGGTTTTTTACTATGGTAATAACATTTGTAATGGTTTGACGAAAACAATAAAAATTGATTTAACTTCAGATTTGAAATCGATACTATTAATTATTATTTCTGATATTTTAGTATCATGTTAGTCGCTTCACCGGTGGTTTCTTCATCTGCTTCTTCACGGGAGTCGAAAACGAATGAATTATTTCCAAAATGTTTACGAACGAGACAAGTTACATATCCATGTAAGAATATATTTGACAATTAAAACTAATGAAATTATTTATTTAATTTCTAGTTTCAAATCTTGCATCATCAAAATCAGCACTTGATTATCATGAATTAAGACGATTACAGGAGATGTCGAGTGAATCCGATGATAGGTAATGAAGACAAAAATAAAATATCTATTTATTAAATTATTAAATTCTATTATAGAGAAGAAACACATAATATGTTCATGAGACAATATGTATCAGTATTGAAACCTGAACCAAAGAAATGTTGGACACCTCGGTAAGTTACATTTTGCCATCGATTTGTGTATCGATAAAAATAGAACCAGCATTGAAGAGATTCATGCTATTGATTAATCAAATTAGAACTATCTTCGACATTTACAGTAATTACAGTATGGGTATAGTTCTTATTTTCAATTGTTTCGATCTGCTAATGAAAGCTTCACTTTTTCATTCGCATCTATCTAACCTTTATTAATTAAAAACAAATGGAACTGCCTTTCTTGCAATAGAAATGTTGTTAGCTTGACTGTTGTAATAAGTAATTTGATACACAGGATAACTGGACACAGCGTCTTATTTAGAATTAAAATCACTCGTACGGCAATATCTGATGTACAACCAAGTTCAATGGAAATGCAATCATCATCGGTGTCTTCATCACAATTGTCAACACGACGATCTCGAAAAGAGAACACACCATTTCAACGTGATATACTCATACTTCGTCGACTTTTACGGAAATTGTAAAAGCAATTTATTCTTTTTCGTTTTGTATCTCAAACATAGTGTTTTACTAGACATATTCAACGAACAAATGCTGAGCATGAACAAATTTTTCAAATCATGACTCAGTTTCCTCAATTTATGGCAATCGATCAACGACCTAAGTTACTTAGGCAAGCTATTGAAATAGCTCATTTTGAAATATGTGACGACATTCGACAACCAGGTTTTTTTTATATAAACTCGCTTGTTTGTCATTATTTTTGAATTTCTCCTGTAGTATTACCTTCTAATGGTTTCTTTTTGATTTTGAAAGGCGGTGTCAGTCCGCCACCAGTGACTTCTGAGTTTCCATCACTTGTACATCAAATCCCAATGGGAACCGTATGTAAAAACAAGTTAGATAAGATAAATTTAACAAACTTTTACTTTTAGCTTACTGTGGGAAAATGTTTTGGTTCATTAAAACCATCACCAGAAGGCCAATTAAAGTAGAAATTCTATTAGAAATATTTTCCTTTCTTTTATCGTTGATTACGTTTTTGAAGATCTCCTTGGTATGTAACAGCTGAAGAAAATTGTGAATTTCTTAAAATTGACAAAGATGAATTTGCAACAATTAAAACAGTAAAATCGTCGATGGAAAAAAATGACCTAATTTCTCTCGCTTTTGATTTATTTCAAATAGAAATTTGAACAGACAGAATATCAAGAAAAATATTCCTTAATACGTTCATGTGGAGAATATAAAATGTGGACAAAACAACCGACAGATGAAGTTGTTCGAGTTATCGAATGGATAGAATATCCACAAAATACAAGTAAAGTTAAAATGTTACTATATAATCCTTATGAACTTGTTTTTTCTTTCGTTATAGTTTTAGCCAGTGAAGGTTTTCGTTGCCCATTTATTGCCTATGTGAAAACAGGTGAATGCCATATTTTACGAAAAGTTGATGTAGTCAAAACAGCACACAATGGTATCAAAGTAATTGGATATATCATATTATTCATCTAGATAAAATATTGATAGCTTCGATTTTCCTCTTGCTCTCTTTAGAGTCGGCAATTACGTCAAGTTGTAATGGGAAAAATAAATTCGCCTGATTCCTTTGGTGAAATAAGTGTTTTATTGCAAGAAGCAATGGTATTTCATGCAACAACAAAAAAAACGAATATCAAATGTAATTATTTTCTTTTTAGACTTGTACTGTGGTAACTGCTACTCATTGTGTATTAGGAATCGTTCGTCCGGGAAAGACTCTAGGTAAAATTTGAGATAGATTTTATGTAAAAATTCTATTTTTGATTACTATAGAACTACCTGAAGTTACACGCAAATTATTATTACATACAGCTCAACGTACTTTTGCTCATTTATCTCAAGATGATATCAGACGTGAATATATTAATCAGGAAACTCGAAAAGAATGGACTGATTTTAAAAAAGATATTTTGGATGATATTATTTTTAAGAAAAATATTCGTGCTGGTCAAGGTAAATGGCAACATTCAACACCAATACCGACACCGGCTGACGACCGTCAGACAAAATCATCCATGCATTAATCTCGGAACTTAATTTATTTATAATTTATATATATATATATATATACGTATTACATGATCTTCATATTTATAAAAAAAGAGCAACGCATTTTTCTAGATTTTACATACAATGATCAATAAAATAAATTTATATATAGAAAATATTCGAATATACTACGATATAAATTGAATAGATATTGTTCACAAGTAATCAGTTTCGTTTTTCCTGTAATTATTAGGAGACATTGATCACTGTCAATAGCTTTGGTACCTAATAAACAAAGAAGGGTAGATATAGCAAGAGTACTTAATCCTACGGAAGAACATGGAAAAACGTTAGTCTATTGTATTGGGTCTAGTCGAAATAAATCGATAGAAATGAATTTTGTTCTATTCTAAAGATAATATCTGATGAAACGAGAAAGAAAGTTTCGATTCATTCAATTTTCATAAGGAAAACATTCTAACTCTGACAATATATGGCTTATAATTAATATACCATAAAATCATGATTCTCGATTAATTTTGGCAGAAATCGACAAATAAAATATTGGATTCATCCATGGAAATGAAATATCTCAATTGACAATATACAGATGTACTGTAAACGAAAATTTACGAATAGCCCTAAAGCTTCGATTAAGTAACATTGTATAACTCATGATGAAAGGTTTTCGATCAATTTGATAAAATTATAATACACATATAATTGTTGACCCCTGATTTGTCAGTATTCCGGGTTAAGAATTAGTGTAAAGATTGTTTTTCTAAATCCACATCTACCAATCAAAATGAAGCTTTTTCTTACTTGTCCTCTCGACGATCTCAAGTGTTAAAAAAGCAAGGCAACGCTTAGAAAAAGCAAATACGAAATGCATTGTTTTTATTTATTAATGCTTTGCCAATAGTCTAGTAAGAAAATAAACATGATAAACTATATATATACTTAGTTACGATTATGGTTACTACTTGTCTTTTTATTATTAGATACTATGCGATTAATCAAATCTGTTCCATAGCGGGCTACGTGTAATCGATCTTTCCAAGCAGAAATGCCTTTGGAAAATGCTTCATTTCGTAAGTGATTCATTAGACCTTCTTTATCTTGAGTAAAGACAGTCACTGGAACATGTCCTAATTCATACCGATCTAACAGTAATAACACATCCAACGGATTTTTATCTTCATTTTTATAATAGCCACGACAAATGATTTGAAATGCCGATGAAGATGAACTTGCTTCTTGACTATGTTGTTGCAGGTACTGTTCCAACGATGAAAATCTTTCGCAAAATTCTACAGCAGTACACGCCTCAATTGATATTTTCTTCATTAATCTGTTATTCTCCTCACTTTCCCGGTCGATCCAAAGTACACGAGAATTCCCTGTAATAATTGCTTCCGACGATTGCTTAATACTGGAATGAGCAACCTTGTGGTATGATTCAGATGTCCATGTGGTAGTGTTTTTCTACAGATTTTGAAACTGTATGAAAATGAGTATAGGCTTTTACTGTATTCCAAAATAATTTCATGTCAGTAGCATCAGGAAAATCGTTCACCAAGATATTGGTGTTAGAAACATCAGTACCATGTGATACATATCTTGTTGCTTTATCTGAGCGAGGAGAATTACCTGAGATGGTTTTAATAGTGTACATGTCAAAACAATGCTTTGGATTACTCATATAATCATAAGGAATATAACAGTAACCTTTATCGCCCTAAAAGTACAATCAACATATTATCCATTAGTCAAATACTAATTTCCTCAAAATCTTTAGTGATAAACGAATTCACTGTCTTACTTTATAGTTTTAATTATATCTGCAACGTAATCCCGTATGGTGTACCAGAGTAACAATTAACGCAAAGCCTATTTATCCAGAGAAATATTTCGCATCATGATTCAATAGCCATTAAATTACATAACTTAAGAACAGTCAACTTTTTCCAAAAACTGTTGTTCATCCTCATGTTGAAGTATCTTACATCAGTTTTCAGTTTCACAATAGATTTTATTATGCATTCTTAAAAATTCTCGACGATAATGTACTCGAAATTATTTAGTTGTAGAAAAAAATGTGCGAACCTTCGCACAGGTGTTTTGAACTAGGGAATGTGTATAAAAGGTCAAGACAACCTAATTTTTAGTATTCATAAACATCTTTGACAGTCTCTGTCTCTACTCGCTATGTTGATTATAAGGTCAATCTCATCTTAAAAGAATACAAAAAAGCCGTATGTAGACACATTCTTTCCAGCAATAATTGATACTAGAAAAAGAAAACGATATAAACAATAAAATTTACCCAAAGTGCACCCCATGAATTCTTAACAATAAAATATTGTCCTTCATCATGATATCCAGCTGCCAACATCGCATGCAAACCATAACTGCTAACAATAGGCTCATCGGCGTTTGGCGTCGGTACATGTCTACCATTGGTTTCAGCTTCAGAAAATGACGTATATATCGTAAGACCAAACGCGAATGGATATCCTTGAGCTAAACATGCTTTCATCTCAGTGAGGTTCGGTGCTACTCTTAATCCACATTCTATATGATAAGCTTTAGCCACTTTATAGCAATATTCTGGTGGCTTTCGATTCACGTTTTTAACCTCGTATGGAAAGATTTCTTCTTTGCAACAGCCATACTCTTTTAGTGCTTCAATGGCCGCTGTTATCGAGCAGCCTTCATCACTCATGTCTGTTTCACTGATTCCATCTTTAAGACGAGCATTGTAATAAATAAAAAGACGACTAACATCAATATCCTTTTTAGTTTTTGTCTTTATGAGAAATTCATATGCAGTTAAAATAAAATAGTTGAGTTAGTAATAGATACACACATTATGAGATCTTACCGGCTAATGCATTGCCAACACTAAAATTGCAGATAACATATTTTTAATTTCAACCACATAGCATTCTAAGAATCTCACACTACTCTAGAATACAATCATCATAGGAAGTTCGTCAATTTTCAATGACGTTTTAGAAAATTAATGTTTTTAGAAATATAGCCTTATTTAGACGTAAACTTAGAGAAATACTCATCATGAGTTAAGATTGTATTGCACCTCTACTGGCGTCATATTTGGTCTTAAGTCAACAGATGCAGGTAGTTCATGGTCCGAAATCATTCTTGAAACTCCGAATTTCGGTAATGTGGATGATGGCTTACTAGGTTTGCAGCCGCCAATAGGAAAACGGCTTCCAGTTTTCGGATTCACCAATTCCTGTATTTTATTCATCGTGGCTAGTGTATGATTGATAATTTAAAATCTAAAATCATAATGAATATATAGAAAATTTGATCAATACTTTTTCTCCAATATTTATTAACAAAACATTTGGCACAAGTAAAAACGAAACAACATTTCAGACACTGTTTAAAATCAATATGTTTTTTAAAAACTACCCTTATACTATGATGATAAACGTAATCGATCTACAGCCACTGTTAATCAATGAATCGGTGATATGAAAATTTCCTCATACCAATTAGAATATGTTCATACTCCGGCTTTCGAAAGGTTCTGTATTGAATATTTGAGACTTCAAAAAGAAACATCTATTTTAACAATTAATTTTGATTTTTAAGTTTAATACGATGAACTCTTATTCATTTCGTATAGCAATCTCAATGATTATGCGAAGCACACTTTAGGAAGTATCCTACCTGAATTTTTCCTCTCTGTCGCAATATTATAAAACAAATCGACTAGACTCTATAAAAAATTATTAATAAAAAAAAAAAATAACTTCCATCACATGGCCATCAATCGACAAAATATGAAGAAAATGAACACTTGCTCGTCAATAGAAAATAACAGAATAGGGAAGAAGGTCGCAACTACTAGATAGTGTTTCAAAATGTGAGCAAATTTCAATATTTCATTCAGTAACACATCCTTTTCTCCATAAGAAAAAAACGATCATTAACCATAAAAATAATGTTGTATCGGTTATCTTTACATATTGTATGTGTTTGTGTATTTTCGCCAGTAAATTTTCCGTCAGTCTGTATTATATCAGTTGTTTACTATACGATTGGTAAAAGAACAAATCGTCAAACAGGTAAACGAATATGTAACGAAAATCCAGTCAACCATGCAAAGGAATAGATTTACACTGAATATGATTCAATGTTCGGTATTTTTCATGGGCTATACAAATAAAAGGTTTGTATGGTTTTTTTTTCACACATTCCATACGAGATATCCAATACGAAGTTTCTATTTCACTATTTGGACACTCACGTATCAGCACGTGCACCATACTTATTTTTCAAAAAGCAAACGATGAAGCCGAAGCAACACGAATGAAAAAAGTAGATAGTAACGAATTATTGTAATAATTCTATTTGAAGCTATACATCAGCCATAGAACATGATCCGTATTATTGGTCTGAATTCGACGTCAGTATGACACAATATATATGCATAATCTTTACTAAAAATATGAAAATCTGTTAATTAATATTTCGGTACATTACGTTGATTGATTACGTAATGCTGAAATGAGAAAGTTCAATCAAATCTAATACCGATCACAGATGAGTCATGTACAAAAAAATAACATCATGTCATTTGACAATATTTTTTTCAAGGAAACAACTTTCACCACATAAGAATAATACAATTCAATATAATTGACAAGTCATCATTCGTCTATAAAAGTCAAATAAATTTTGACTTATTTGCAGTTGAGGCACATATGTATATGTTCAACGAGTAACGTCTTGCAGATAGAAACTTTATTCAGATTTTTTTGCTCTTTATGGAATATTTACACATGAGAAAATGATGAACAAGCACCATATCGATCTCCATGCCATATATTCAATAATTCCTATAAAATATAAGTGCAATATTTGTTAAACAACCAACAATATTCTTCTAGTCAACATATATTCAGTGTAAAAATTGAAAGTATGATCATCGGTGATTTATTGACGAACAATGATTTTATTTCATCTGGATATTGAATAATGCTGCATTTGAATTTTCTGTATGCAGTACACGTTGTTATTCATCTTTATTTGTCTACTGAAAATTACACTTTACGTTTTTTACAACATAAATGATTTATTTGTTCAATAAACGATGCTACATAAACCGAAATACATATTCATAAGTCAATCAGATCGTATTTAGTTATTAACGATATGGCAATTCTGGTGGAAGCATAACTTCATCAGAAATAATATTTTTTACTCTGGCGTGATCAACAAAAGCTTTCCAACATTCATTTTGGTTAGCTAATTGAGTTAAATTTCCAACCACATACAAACCGTTTTTTGGCCGGGTCAACATAACATTAACACGATGCATATCGTCTAAAAATCCAATGGTACCACCACTGCGCACGCATGAAACTATAACAATATCCTTTTCCTTGCCTTGTGAACCATCAGCAGTCATGATTTCAATATACGGAGGTAAGTATGATCGAAGAAGACGAACTTGTGCTTTATATGGTGTGATAATAGCGATCCGTTTTTGAATGTCAATCGATCTAGCGTCATTAATAGGTATAGGTCGTAAACATTTTATTTCTATATTTTCATCATAGGCATCCTCGTCATCATCATTGTCGTCGTTATCTTCGCTGTCACTAGAAACTTGGTTTACTGGTGCAGCTAGACATGAAATCAACGATTCACAAAAAGCTCGGATATATTTAGCTTCACTTTCATTGAACGATGAGCTAGCATCATCAGAGCTTTGCAGTGATTGAGTCATATTGTATACATATAAGGGCTTGAGAGGAAAATCCCTCATTCTTCTGGCTACTGACGCATCTGTTAATAAACGGTGAGTGTAAAAGTATTCGCTGGGGAATCGACAAATGTCTGGATGCATTCGATATTGAGTATCGAGCATAGTTATTGGACCATTTGGATACTCTTCGAAATTAGAGTGTAAACGTGCGTAAAGTGATTGAGATAAACCATACATCTTTCCCGCATCACTAAGAACACACGGAGGAAGTTGTAACGGATCACCAACCAGCATAATTTTGGTACACTTAAAGCGAAGTGGTAGCAGCAAGTCAGCTTCCAAACTTTGACACGCTGATAATACAAGCATAGAAGAAAACAAAGTCATTCACTTTATTAGGTACATCTTTAATACTTTGTTTTCTAATCCAGATTTTAGAAATAGTATTGTCGTCTGTTTTATCTCACTTCATGTTACTGAATCAGTGTTAGAACTTACCTTCATCAATAATGACAAACCCAGTGGTTGCTTTCAATGGTTGCAACCTTGCACTGCCACAATAATTCAACGTTGAAATAACAATTTTGGCATGTTTCAAAATATGTGATTCGGTTTCTTGAGCAATTTTAGGACTTGGCTTTTGCTCTGTTTTTAAAACATTTACAATGTCTTGAAGAATCATGAAATCTAGAAAATGTTTACACAAGCGATAATCATCAGGTGGTTGACATCCAATCCGAACCAGAGTTCCTAGTGAAGTTATATATATATATATATATTTTTTTAAATTTCATTGACGTTTTTAAACGAAGCTACTAACCACGGCTGTAAGGAAAATCTTGTTTATGGAACTCATCAAGAATACGTCGGCATAATTCATCGCATGCGTTATTCGATGGTGCACAAAGAAGAATTTTTTGTTTACGTCCCGATTCTGGTAGTTTTGATAACAGTTTTAATACAATACCTGCGATCGTTCGACTTTTGCCTGTGCCTAGATATATATTTATATGTGGATAACAAGAAGAAAAAAAGTAAAGTCTAAATTTAAATGAGAGAAGAGAAGTAATATACCAGGTGGACCGTGCACCATATGCAGATGCTCTTGAAGATCATCAAACATATATTCTGCAATAGCAATTGCCTCCGACTGAGACTTATTAAACCCATACTCAGGAATTATATTCGCAGGACCATAGTCTTGAGGTAATTGAAAATAAAGATCCTCAATCATAGGTTTAAGTAAACTACGATATTGAGGCCATTCATGTATATTATGTATGGCACTGATCATACGCCTTGATGATGTTATATTACTTAATTTAGTTATTGGTATTTTTTTATCTTTATTTCCTTTGCGATATTGTTGAATAACATCGGAGCATTCACGTGATACATAAATGCCAATTGTTGTTTGTAAATCAAACTGAAGTTCATTAGAATTAGTGTTTGATGCATAATTGTTATTCGAGCATTCTTCTCGGCTTGCTACTTTAACTTTAGTTTGTTCAGCATGAACAATCATACCAAAATATGTTTTATTATTCATTTTAATTAGAACAAGATCAAAAAAGCCAATACTCCTTGATAAAGCATTGTACCTGTCAGCTGTAATGTTACATTCAATGGCTTATCAAACAAAAGAAAGACCAAAACATACCAAAAATCACACGATTGGTTCCGAAAATGAGTGCACTATCTTTTTCTCCATCCAGTGTCTGCTTGTTATAAAATTCCTGAAAATTAATATCTGTTGTACGCTGGTTAAGAGCAACATCGACATCTTTAAAATCATTGGCAATCTCGCTCCATAATTCATGATAATGTAATGGAACAAGACACTCTTGATAAGCTGTTAAAGCGTTTTCAACATTAAATTTTTCGATATTATTATTTGTATGGTCTATGAGAAACAGAAAAATGTCATTAAACTTTCATTTATATTAATACAACTTACCATATGTTTTTTGTACAAAGCTTAATGGAACTGGAGTCAAACTCTTATGGAGTCTTTCATAATTAATTCTTCTTAAATGTAAATGTTTTGGTATCCATCGAGTAACAATTCGATCAAGTAATGTACGAATTGAATTTTTTGCGTCATCTGTCCATAATTGACCAGGTCGAAATTCTCCTTCTGGTCTAGAACCAAGAGCTGTGTCACGAGATCCGCTAAGAACGGTACCTTCTGGCTTGGATATATTTTCTATAGCTCTATAGTCAAAGTTAAATAGATTGAGTGCTGATGATAAATTCTGCCTAAATAGAAACATTTTTCGAGCTCGTCGCCATAAGTGTGCATCAGTTCCATCCAGATGTTCTTTAAGCCAAGCATTGCCTGAATATGAATCTTCACCACTGTTCATATATGATTAGTACTAAATATCTAAATAAGATGTGAAAGTATCGATTTCTCTGATGTCCTGTCTGTTAGGTTCGAGATTCCCGGTTGATGTTTATTTTATCAAATAAATGAGAACCTAGCTTCTTCACAAAAAAACAGGAACAAGAAAATGAAAAATGAGAAAACGGAAAATAATAAATCAGTCACAAGTACACTGGCACTACTCTTTCTTATCTCCTTGTACACACCCACACCCTCACAGAACCGGCCGTTTCCGGGACCGGAATGTTCGACCTGAGTAACACTGTCTATGTTCTTAAGGATGTTGCCACATGAATAATAACTATATACGTAATGATGATAAGAACTTACTTTTCCGAGAAAATAACTAGTCAACTTCAAAAGTAAAAAGTACAAGTGACGAAGAGCGGTGATAAGGCACAATTGATTTTATGTATCCAGCAGTGTCAAACTTGAAAGTTGAAAGTTAAAAATTTCAATTTCAATTGAATTTAAGCTTTGAATTTGACATATATGAATATACTTAACCCTTTCCGGTTGGGTGTTACAATAAGTAACGTTTTTCTCTCTTATGGCGCGTCGTTTTTTTTCCAACAGTCGATCATAAAGTGTTAAATGCGTTTTCAGGTATATTTGTTTGCACCAGTCAACACATCACCTGATGCGAACATGCATTCGACAGTTGAAACGAACAAAAAATAAAAAACTGAAAAACAAAAACAAATGTTTCTATTCTTTTCGTCTATTTTTTTTCGGCGAGAATGGGATGAAATGAAAAAATGACGCAAAAAGAATAGAACAGACGTCTACCACAATAGAGCAACTCAGGTCGTCATGAGGTGCCTCGTTCGAATTCGAATATAAACCGATACCTCAATAACTATTCACAATTCGAAAATAAGCGCAAAAATTCGCGACAATTTGAAAATCATCCCAAAGCAAAATATAAAGATCGTCAAAGTGGCACCCCATTTATAGTTTAGGAATAGATTTAGAAAAAGGAAATCTTCTGCTGGGGTTGCGGGAAAACATGAAAGTGCCTTTTTTTGCATTTATATTCAGAGTCGAATTAGGTAGCTACTCCAGATCGTAGACGTGCGGTGGGAAACGACCGAAAAGCACCGGAAAGCGCTGGAAAGTGGAAGCAGTATTCCGACCGGAAATTACCGGATTTTGTTTCCTATGAATTCCGGTCAGTTTCCTGTGATTTCCAACGGGAAAATGGCCGGAATCCACCGGGAAAAAATCCGCCAATTCCTGACGGGAACGCTGCTTCCTCTTTCTAGCGCTTCCCCGAACTTTCCGGTCAGATACGGTGATTTTTCCGCTTCTTTCCGGTCAGTTTCGGCGGTATCCGTCTTCCGGAATCATTGACATGGAAATAGAAATATCATTTTTTTTAATATTCTACTATTTCCTGTGTGTGTCAAGTAGGGGTGTAAGCCGTCATTCGGAAAATATGTCGGCTCTAGCGAAAGCACCGTCTGCCAGCCAGGGGCGTAAGTCAGGTCTCAGAGCAGGTTAAGCGTAGATTTTTTTCTGTTTTGGTGAGCAAAAAAACGAAATTTTCAAAAGCAGGGGGCGTTACGCGCCACTCGCCCCCCCCCCCTTATTTACGCCCTTACTGCCAGCCGTCGGCTTATACTTCTACTCTCAAGTAGTGCTATCGAATTTNGTTTATGATACGGCCGTACACGGTCGGACACGGGTTCGAAACGGTTGGTGTGTACTACCGTATACGACACGGCGATATACGGCCGTAATACGGCGCATACCAAAACGTTAAAATACGGCCCGTATACGGCCGTAAATTCGGCGTATACGGCCGTGTACGTCATCGTAAACGGCCGTTTACGGCCGTATCTAGTCGTCGTAATGCTCGACCTGGGGATGATTAAAAATTGAAATTGCTAGAGGTTCTTCAGATGACCATTCAGAAAAGATCAAATGAGTTAATCGTTTACTTGAAAACAATATTAATGAAAGTATATCTAATGTATTTTTATAAGATAATCCTGTTGCTGTTGTTGTTTCATCCTTGATCTCAACAACGAGATGTTTGATTTGATCCATGAGAAGAAAACGAAGCATTGTATTACCTAAAATATACAGACAAACCATGCTTCTTGATTAAAAACATGCTACTTTAATTGAAAAAAGAAAATATTATTTCTTTAGAATTGATCTACTTTAGAACATAACAAGTCGAGTAGTTCATTTTTTTCTCATTTGAACATCTATTTTACATGAATATATTTACCTATCAGAACTCATTTCGATAGAATTAATTCCTATTTCTAAGCATTTGCCTTCGATCAAATATATGTAGGAGTTAGAAGAATTAATAATGATTTAATTTGAGTAAAAACAAACGCAACAACGTCGTCATATTCTTGAACAGAATCAGAAGAAATATTCATATTTTAATTCAAACAACATTGATATTTAAAAGAACTCTTGAATATCAATGGTAAACAAAAGATTGTGTTCTGTATCATAGACAGATCATCAAGCTCACTATAGCTGACAAGGATAATCGTAATTATCAATCTAACAATAGTTAAATTAAGTAGATATCAAAATTTCTTTCATTATTGATTTTTCTTTATATAAGAACTTGTTTGTACACTACACTTATGGTCCATTGAAAAAAATGTTCACAATCAAAATGTACTCAGGAACATGTATAATCATCACATCCTACGTAATTATATACGTTTGACTGATTAAGATGAATAAAATGAAATAGTCTACCTGTTAAATATTTATAAAATGTTTCTTTTTGAAAATTAATAAGTGATAACGAATCAAGTTGAGGATAACCAGTAGTAAAGAGAAGACGCTCGATTGAATATGGTTCAACAGTGAGTTTGTTTACTTGATGATAAATACGAGGTAAGATTTTTTCACAAACTTTATCGAGCATTTGATTATTTATTGAGGACATACGATTAGATGATTTCACAGTTAAGTCAAGATTATGAATATAAAGACGATCAAATACTAATCGATTAAATCGTTCATTGACATCTACTAATGAATAGAATGCATCGATCATATTCAATTTATTGAAAATTATAACTAATATTTCATTGGGTAAATCGAGAATAATGATATTATTGTTCGACGAAGCATTCATGGTCAACTATTATGCATGTCTATTGATTTTGTTCAATATATATATATGCTCATTTCCTCATTGCCTCTGTTAGTAGAACGAGAAAAAAACGAATGTGATGACCTTAGACGATAAAGAACATATATTATTTTTCTTTCCGTCGAACAATTTTCATCATTCATTGGTTATTAGTTCATTCAGTCAGCTTAAATTTTATTGTAATACGTGAACTGGTGACATAAAGTGATGGAGAAATAGCGCATCAATATCGTAATTCAGTAATACGCTTTGGATGAAACTCGTGTTTACAATACGAAATTGCCAGTATATGCACTGTATTAGCAAAAAATATGATTTATCATAAAAAATGAGAGAAAATGTCTTCGAATATGATTTATTTTAGGTACGATTTTTTCCGTCTGATTCTTCCACCTAAACCAAATATCCATCGCAGTGCATTCAACATACATTTGATGACTCATGTGCTCATAGACTTGAAATACTTATTTATCAAATGTTTGTCTTTCATAAGTTATATCATCTTTCGAATGAGACATACACTATTTCAATCAATCATTAGATATCTGTTCGAAAGTTGTTGAATATATTTTTTCAAAAAAAAAGATTAGAATTTGATACAAAAAAAATACATGTAACAACTGGTTTAGTATGAAATAATTTTTGAGTTGTCATATCTATTTTTTTCCTTGTGTATCAAATGATTAATGCATGCGATGTTATTGTTCATCTAATTCACTATATTTTATAACATCGACTGCAGTTGTTGAAATTTCAACATATGATTCTTCTATTTCATCACCACGTTGATTTAATAATGCTTCAAAATCATTATTTGACGAATGTGTGAAGACCAACTTACAGCCAACCATATCCAGCATTTCAGGCTGAGCTAAAATGAATTGAATAAATCTTTCTTTTCACGAAAAAAAAGTTCGTATAAACCTGGTGACCACGTATACAAGCCAAACATTTTTTTTAGTTTTTGAAGCAATTTAACTTCTTCAGATTTATTAGGATCCATTTGAAATGCAATTTTCAGTTCTGGATTTTTAACAACAAGAATAAATGAACCGTGTTCAGTAATGTTGAATACATTTTGTAAATAAATGTTTGGAGATGATTTCAGAACGTAATTAAGAATTGTACGCCGTTGATCATCATTCTTCATAATATATTGACCTTTAACAATAATATGATGAGTTGTAGTTGTAAACATTTTCAATTTAACTGCTTCGTTAGATTGTCCTTTGATATTTTGTTGCATTACCCAGGTCAATGATTCCGGAGGATGGATACTGTAGGAACCGGCCGGAAAGATGCGGAAAAATCACCGTATCTGGCCTGAAAGCATGGGAAAGCACTGGAAACTGGAAGCAGTATTCCAGTTGGAAGTTACCGGATTCTTTTCCTGTGGATTCCGGTCAGTTTCCTGTGTTTTCCGGTCAGTTTTCTGTTTTTTGCATCTGGAAGTTGATCGGAATCTACAGGAAGAAAATCCGGTAACTTCCAACTGGAATACTGCTTCCAGTTTCCAGCGCTTTCCTGTGCTTTCCGGCCGTTTCCCGCCGTACGTCCACAACCTGGGTAGTTTAACAGCACTACATTTTTCAATTACAGCGCAAAGATATTTTTTCCACCACTATCTGGTAATTTTTCTTTTTCAATTTTAATTAAACGTTGCTTTAATAAATCATTATGCTCATGATTTTCTTCATGCGATAGTAAAATATAAAATGATTCAATATCATTGATTGATGTAGGATCATCAACATCGAGTTTTGGTACACCTATTAAAATAACGTTTTTTTGATTTTCGGTATTTATAAACTATCACTTACACATAAATGATATCACCTTTTTCGATGAATTCGGTTTCAATTCCTTCTTGAATAAATAAATCGGGGAATCGATTATTACCTAATTATAAAGGTAAATAAATATACTCGCTATTAAATATACAATAAACCGAACTTGTGATCGATTTATTCGATTTAACTTCATTAATATGCAGTCCAACACTATGTTGAAGCATTAAATTGATTTTGAATTGATTTTCAGGTTCAATTATTTTTTCATCACCTTCATTTGTAATTGTTTTCGCCAATTCAGTTGCACAACAATCGAGTTGCATTGATTGATTGCTTTCTATTTCAAGCAACTGTATTGTCTAAATTAATAAAAAATTTCGAAATTAAATAATATAAATTAATATATTATTCACTGACGTCAGTTCCTGCGGCAATAAGCTGTTTGTTTAAGCTCGATGAACTTTCCATCGTTTTTGTTTCTTGACGGAATTCTAATGTTATCTAAATATACACACGATATTTTGCCATCGACTATAATGGAGAGTGAATATTTTCTATTTTCTCTTTTATGCACATGCCCAGTTGTTTACATTTTTATTTTCCTCTCATTTATACATTACGCAATCCCAGGTCATTATCGATCCGTCGGTTCTTGTCGAGCGGGTTATAATTCCGATGTCACATGGTGATCGGATTCGGTCGGATAATTTCTGGCGA